GGGAGTCTGACTACATGACTGTCAAGGCTCAGATCCAGGATTAAGAAAATCTGGACCTTTGTTGGGGATCCTCTTTTGCTGTCAGCAAGTTCCCTTTCCTTGTCCTCTAACCAGGAAAAATGCCACAGATCCTTAAGGCCCTGCTCCTGTACCTCCTGCTGCGATGCCTCTGACTCTGACCACTCCACATACCTTCTGTGCTCCAGGAATTAGTCCACAGTGTCCCTGGTGCTGGCTTCCTGCCATAATAGCTCTTGTGCAATGGGATCTGATTTGTACTCTGGGCACCATTTCTCCTCTCCCTTAGTCTCCTTGTCTTTCTGATTGGAACAAAAGGGCCTTGCTCAGTCTTTGTTTTCACCTAGGAATGAATGGAAGATCTAACTTTAAGGGTGTGGGGTGGGAGATCCTTAAGACTGGGCTGGAGATAATCTCTGGATCCATAACCAGAGACTGACAGGACCGCAGATCTGCTCCCTCCCTGGCCTTCCAGACCGAGCTCATGAGATGGACAAGCTTGCAGGGAACCCCAACCTCTCTCTGCTGGCCTGGCAACCCCAGGCAGCTGGGGATCCAGAACACACTCACCATTGCCCAGTGCACAGGGATGGCACCGCTCTGGTGCCAGTCTGGGCTGCATGGGCAGGATCTAGAGGGGTGGGAAGAAGTCCCTGTGCTTGCCCAGCCCTCTGCTTCACAGCTTCATGAAGCTGCCTTGCATTCACAGGTTCAGTGTTGTAGCTGCTGGCCTTGTTTTTGCATGTTAGAGTGAGTTTCTTCCTGTTGGTGGGCACAGGAGAGTGAAGGGGGAGGGTGTCTGTATAGCCTGAGGAAGAGCAGAACTAGATGCCATCTGTATGGATGTGTTTTCCAAGTAATGTGATGGATAGGCCTTCTTAGCTTCACTGCCACCTCCAGTTACTTCTCTGCAACTCAGTGTAGGGAGGTCAGGACAGAAGGTGAGGGGCTCACTGGTTAGTAGTTCCGTGGCAGCTGACCTGCTGGTCCAGGGCTGTCTCCATCCCATGTCCCAGATGAGATGGCTGCTGCGCTCCTGTCCTGCCCCTCAGCGCTCCTGGAAACAGTGCACAGAGTCCCTGATGGCTACTGCATCTGCTCCCAAGGCTGTGCCTGAGAGGCAGGGCCACTGCGTGTGTGACAGAAGCAGTCCTTGTGCCAGAGCAAGCCGAGGTAAGCCCCTCAGATTGGCTGTTGCTAGGAAGCACAAGCATGTTTGATGTTTTGATTTCAGTGGTGTTGGAGGCCTGCCTTTTTAATAACACGAAGAGCTGTGGGTTGATCTGACGATATTGAACATGTACTTTGCTGGAAATATATCATTAAAGCAGAATTCACTCATCAGATACCTTTTTCCAACAGTCATTAAATTAGAAAAAGAAATTCCCTGGGAGATAGGAGAGGAGAGTGAGAAGTTAAAAGTAAAAATGGCAGCAGAAAGGATTCTTGCAGAAGCAACTGAGCTCATGGTCTCTATGGCTAGTGACCCCACAGCTTGGTCATGGTGGGCCGTGGCCAGCAGTAGGGACAAGGGAGGAGTCCATGCTGTGCAGCTGCCCAGCCCTGTGCACTGGGCAGAGGGGACCTGACTGCTCTCACTCTCCGGTGTGTCTTGAGCCCTGTCTGGGGCGGGATGAGGCAGAGTCCTCGACCCCAACAAGGAAAAAGTTGACTATGGTTCAGTCCCACAGGCTGCCTGTGCAGTCCCACAGCGCAGTGTGTAAGGGCCTTGTGGGGAGCGCCCCCCTTTTCAGGGCAAGGTGCTGAAACCTGCCAAGCAATCTAAACTAAGACTGAAAGGTCTGCTTCACTGGAAATGACAAGGAAGTGCATTCCAGACAGGATGAGCCAGGTGAGGAAGAAGCCCAGGGTTGGTGAGATGGTCTATGGACTTGGTGAAAGGATGAGTCGAGGAAAAATGTAGAGTTAGAGAAGGTGGACTGAATCACGGATTGAATTTGATACTGAGAAACATCAAATATTACTGGGCTTTTTCTCTAGGTGCCCAGTGAGAAGACAGGGGTGAGCTTGTTCCTAGTCTTACTCCATTTTCAATCCCTCTGGGTGCACAAGAATGGTTTCCTGATGTTGGTGGAGCTTCCTCATTGGCAGGATCCTCCAGCGGGCCTTTCGTCAGGGATGGAAATGTTCCCATTAGCTCTGTTCAACATGGCAGCCATGAGCCACATGGCTATGGAACCTTGAAGTGTGGACAGTGTGACTGGGGGATAATTGTTAAAATTTATTCAATTGTAATTGACTGAAATATTCCCATCCAAAGAGCCATGTATGCTTACTGTCGTGGCTGGGCAGTGTGCAGTCCTGGTAGCTGGGTGAGGAGAAGGTGGGGACAGATCCCCCACACAGGCACTGGTTCCAGAGAGGGGCTGACCATGGATCATTGTGATACAGCTGCTGGGTGCTGTGCAGGAAAAGTGACTATTAAAGGGATGGCAGGAGCCTGCTCCCTGTGCTAGTTCATTAATTCCTGTAGAGTAGAAACCCACCACATAGACAGGATTTTTCATCTGTAGAGATTTCCTGTAAGGGCTCCTATGTTTCTCACTGGAGCGATGGGTTGCTGAGTTTTCTGACCAACCCACATTCAGTGGGATGGAATGTTGATGCACAATGCCAGGAAAGCAGAGATATCAAAGCCACGAGTCTCAGCAACTCAGTGAGAGTGTTACAATGTTTGCTACTTGTTCCGTAAAATGAGTATAAATGTGCAAAACCGGTGCATACAGATTTAAGAAAGGACAATAATTTCCTATAGTCACGTAAAATTTTGACTCTGATGTGTCCTAAATTAGATATTCCTCATAGAAGATTATGTAGAAATGGAACAATTGAATCACAATAGTTTTGCCCCTTCCTGCAATTCGAAGAACATTTTGAACACTTTCATGCTTCTGTTAATAAATTATGTTGCATCCAGTGAAAGCATGCATAATTCTCCCAAAATCTGTTCCATCCCTCTGATGTCAGGTTTCCAGCAGCAGAGACCAGTAAGGGAGGGGGACGTGTGGGAGCAGCACAGGTGACTGAATCAAAGCATAAATTGGAGTGAATTTGGATGAATTATGTCTTAGCAAGGACCTGCATAGCACTGTGTGATTCTACCATCCTTGAGTCTTTATTTTCCCACTCTAGTTCCCAAATTTTGATTCAAATATGAGTATGTTCTACACTATTCTGTCTTGTTGTTTTCAAAACAAACTGAGATATTTACCTTTTTAGAATAGTAAAGTGTTCATTGCAGAAAATAGGAAATTAAAAGAGTCCTAATGCCACCAACCCAGAGTTGACTGCTGTGAATATTTGAGTATAACTTGTTTCAGTTATTCTTGTTTTCTGTGATTATACAACATTGAGCTTTTATTATCGTGCTTCCTTCCATTCCCTCCATTGAGAACATTTTTCCACATTTTAAGAAATTATTTCCAAGACATCATCAAAAGATGTATAGAGTATTTCATTGTACAAGACATGGAATTTTATTTAATGGAGTCCCTATTATGGGCAATTTTGGTTACTTTCTTCTTTGAAATTAAATTGCATTATTGTTAAAAATCTCTGTAAAATGTTTGTCTGCATGCATTCTTATTTTCTTGGGTGTAAGGTTTCCCTGTCAGAGTGAGTGCCTTTCCTTGGACCACTCATCAAAGTGACCACAGTGTTCTCTAGAAGGATCTCTGTGTGTGGTTCTGTGAGTGTGGGGTTTTAACACCAGTAGAACTTGAGATATACCCCTGGGTCTGCGAAGCTGTGCTCTCCCCAGTTCTGTGACCTTGGGCGGATCCTTGGCATCTCCAAGCTTCAGTTCCCTGCCCACCAGAGAGGGTGGTGACAACCTCTGCTTCCTGCTTCAGTGCCCTGTGCAGCCGCGGTGACAGAGGGTAAATGGCTGAGTCCAGGCACGTGCTCAGCTTGGGAGCCAGGGTCTTGGTCTCATCCTTCTGCCTGCAAGTTGCAGAGGATCTGCTTCGCCCCCATCAGACCCCCACCACGTGTTCTCACGCCCCTGGGCATGGTTTGGTGTAAAAGTTGTTAACTCACTCAGTGCAAAGCAGTGTCTTAGAAGTTTAACAGCTGTGATAAAACACATCATTTAAGACTTTAAATATATACAGAGTCTTTCACATGCTGTTTCTCATGGGCTCCAAGTCCTACAGAAGTTCTGGTCCTCCTTAGTTGTAAAGTGCAGGCCGATTACTATTGAGGCATGGTGGACACAGCAATTATTAAATGTGTGGTCACTGTGTTTTCTCAATGAATTGGATTTAGCTGTCCATACTTTTTTTTTTAACTGAAGAAACAACTCCATAAGTCAGCCCTCTTCATCTCTCAGTGTAATTAGGTGCCTGAAATGCTTGATTGCTTTGTTTGGAATTTGTTGCCCTACATGTTAAAAACAATGAAGATTCTGTCTTCCTTAAAAGATTGGGGTTCTAAGACATGACCAAAGTGAATTCTAGATGCACATTTTCAGAAAGCCACAGGGGTTTGTGCTATCATCACGCAGGTTGCTGTTTTGGGTTAGACTGCAGTGGCCTCTGTCATGCTTCTGTCACTGCTGCACACACAGTTGTGGTGAGGTGAATATAGACCACAACCGAGGAGCTGCCTTTCCTGCAGGGTAACCACTCAGTGTGTGTGGCTTTTCTCATCTCATAATTACAAAGAAATCGAAGTAGGAATTCAACTTCTCAGTCACACCAGCCACACACAGTGTGTTCCAAAACTGCAGATGGACAGCAAGGATGACAGAATGCTTCTGTCTGGTGGCCCATCCTGCTGTAACAGAAGAAAACTTGAGTGTTGTGGTGCTCAGAGGCATCCAGTGCTCAAGTTGTGTACACAAACTTTATACCATATTTCAGCTTTCCAATCAGAGTTTCCATCCATCTACCTGGGACTTCCTGCAGCTCACACATGATTTGATATTTTCAAATGTTCCTTTGTCTCTGTTGGTCCCCTAGGTCCTGTGTGACAGACATGTGCGAGTGTCCAGCCAACAGAAACTGTTACTGTGAGTCGTTTCTGGCCTATGCCCGGGCCTGCCAGAGAGAGGGCATCAGGGTGCCTTGGGAGCCGCAGCAGCACTGCACAGGTAAGAGAGGACAAGGACCCACCTGTCAGGAGTCACTGTGCTGCCCCAGATGCCACACAGGGGATCACAGATCCAGACACAGTAGCCTCATCCCCTTGGCTGAAGGGAAATCCTATTGGTGGCCCAAATGGATTGAAGTTGGTGAAACACAGGGGTCCCACTGGGCAGGGGAGGCAGCACTTGAGAGAAAGCTCTGTGAGGGGCACATTTAACAATCTGAGGATTTCTGTTATTGCCAAACTCTCCACTTCGAGCTACCAGCTGGATGTACTTAGCATGTGGACAATTATCGCTAAGGCTTGGGCTGTGTGTGGAGTAAGGGGTTTGGGACAGGTACAGCCCCTCAAGGCCTTTAGGATAAACATGATGGTTTTACAAAAGAGATTGTTATTCACATCATAGGGGAATATTCCTCCCCACCCTTACTCCCAAAGAGATTTCTGTAATAGTTATTAGGAGCTCTTTGTCCCCAGGCAAGCTAATTAACTTTATTTCTGATCTGTAAAACAGATGTCTTTGTGCATCCGAGAAATGTTTCTCACTAAGTGGCTGAGGACGGGCATTGTGCTGGACACTGGGTACTATGGTGGTGCTGAGTGATGGGGCCTCTGTCCTTGGTGTGCTGGTTGCTTGTGGGAGAACCAGACACAATCAATAACTCAATGATGAATGCTTTCAAACTATGGTAAGAATGAAGATGGAAATACACAAGGCAGAGCCTTAGTAAACAAATGAAGAGGAGATGGTAGCCCCAGAGACTGGGAGAAGAGGGAAACCTGCAGAGGTGGCATGATGGCATTTAGCACTGCCCCAAGGAGCACAGGGAGGAAGGCAAGCAGGCTGTGTAGAGAAGCTCATCGGACAGTCAGAGCAGAAAAGCTACAGAGCTTAGGATTGGAAGGGGCCTCATGCGGCTTGGCCTGGAGGGCAAGGCACAGAGAGGCTCAAGATGAGGCCAGGCAGGCAGAGCTGGCCACACAGGGCCTTATGAGTCTTTGCCAAGAGTCTAGCATTTATTCCAAGGGAAGTGGGAGCCCCCAATGGTTATCTAGAAGGCCTCCAAGTTTTCCAGGGATGAAACTAACTATGTTGTAGAGCAGCAGGGTCCCCAACCTTTTTGCCACCAGTGACCAGTTTCATGGAAGATAATCCTTGAGAGATGACTGAAGGAGCCAAATCCCTCGCATGCACAGTTCATGGCAGGCTTGAATCTGGTGCTGCTGCTGATAGGGTGTGATGGGATGTGATCATGGGGGACAGCTGTAAACACAGGGGAAACTTCACCTGTGTCTCACCTCCTGCTGTGCTGCTCGGATCCTAACAGGGAACTGATCAGTAGTGAGTGGTTGCCCAATGGTTGGGGACCCCTAGTCTGGTCAATAGATTGCAGGAAAAAAGATTGAGAGCAGGTGGCCAAGCAAGATGCTGCAGGAGCCCTGGTAAAAGTTGAATGGTGTCCTGGATTAAGATGGTGGCCGTGCATGAAGAGAGAAGGGGAGAGGTCTAGACATGTTTGGAATTTCCATACTATTTACTCTCAGGAGCATTAGCAATGTTTACATGGGTCATCTCAAGGGTGTCCAGCTCATATAAGATGCTGTCAGAGGCAGCTGGCACTGTCATTTAAAGGTGTAAAGAGATGACTTAACGTTTGTCACCAGTGCAGGGCTCAGCCACCTTTTCTCTTTGCCTAGAAGAAGAGACTGGTTTGTAGCTTCTACAGTAGCCTTGGAGAACAAGATAGTTTAGGCTGCATTGGTGGAGCACAGGAGTGACCAGGAGATGAAGGGAGAGTTGGGAGAGCAGCCCCGAAGCTGTATGTACAGTGCACAGAGTGCACAGATGTCTGTTCCCTTAGACCAGTGAGTTTCAGCCTAGTTGGAGCTGAAATCACTAGAGGAGCTTACAAAGCACCATGTACACCCTGCTTCTAGGGTCCTGTACATCTTTAAAAAATTCCCAGGTGACTCTAACCTACAGCCAGAGTAGAAAGCACTGAGCAGGTCTGTATTTCCCTGGTGGCTTTGGGGGCCTGGGTAAAGTGTTCTAAACTTCCTCAGCTGCCCCCAGGTGCAGCCTCTTGTCTCCTTCCTGACCTCCCTCTGACCTCCCTTTCAGTTTTGCTGTCATTTTGCAGGCCAAGTCCAATTTTCCCTCAGAATGCGCTCTTCACAGCCAGAGCCTGACTGGGCTCTGCAGGACTCCTGCCTCAAAGAAGCACCTGTGTGACAACCATAACCCACACCAAGGTGTGGCTGTGGCCACGGAGGGGCAGGGAAAGGGGGACCTAAGTGCAGGTAGAATGTGAGGGTGATGTGAGTGAGGGACCACGTTCTTCGAGCCCCTCTGAGTACTCTGAGCTCCCTTTCTTTAGAGTTCTGCTTCCCTTGAATCTACCAGGAAATGAGTCAAAGAGATAGAGCCCAGATCTCCCCCAGCCATCATGGTGTGATGCAGAGCTCAGCAGAATCCTACTTGTGTCATTAACTGCAGTGATGCTGTGGTTGGAAATGGGATCTATGGACCCTCTGCCCCTGGCCCAGAGCTATACTAAGCTCCATTTCAGTACACACACTGCATCCCAGGGCTGCACGTTTCATATCGTCAGCCTCATTTCAGGAGTGGGATCCCTGGAGCCAAAATTGCTTTCCTAGTAAAAAAGTAGTACAGCTCCTGAAAAGTCCCATTTACCTCTCAGAATTGTGAAGCCATCAGGGTGAAGTATCGGTCTATCATAGTGCAGCTGGAGGGCAGTGCTTTACACACACGCGTGCACACCATGGCCGCCCACAGCCTGACAGCGGGAACATGAAGAAATGCATCTGCAGGGCTACACAGTCAGCTTATTTCAGGTCCACCTAGAAATCTGAGGGTGATAAGAAGACAGTTTCCTTGTTTTTAGCTCTCAGGTGCTCTGACTGAAAAAAGCACTGAAAGCATGTAAAGCAAAGAACAAAAATGTTCAAAGTAAAAGCCTGGACACTGGACAAATATGAAGCCCCCAAGCGAGAAAGCCCAAGTGAAAGAATGGTATTTTTAAAACTTGCCTGAATTTTAACTCCAGCAGCACTCTGGACATGGCAGTGCCCACCTAATGATATCACTGGAAATTACTAAATAAAAAGTAATACGCTAAGAGCTCCAGTAAAGGCATATAAATGTTTCATAATAACCATATTTATTGGCATTTATTATTTCATAAGTGCCTTCTTTCCCCAAGGGCTACACTAGTATCATGTATTCTATTGATTGTACTTTATGCCCATAACTACATTATATTAATTACATCTTATTGATAAGGACACTGGAGATCTAAATAGTTAAGGACTTTACTAAAAGCCAAAGAGCTCTAGATAGCAAGGAAGCTGGGAATTGAACCCAAGTCAGTTTGCACCTAGCTTCTCTTTTTAATTATTCTCAGGACACAGAAATGCAAAATCACTGTAGGAAAAGTATGGATACATATTTATTTATGAATTTATATAAGCAATATCTGCTCCATCCAACTGTGACTTTAGTTTCTGCTCCTTTTTTCCTTATCACTAGCAGGAGTGATTTGGTGCCTTTGGATTGTAAATTGTTAAGATTGTCTCTCCTGTGTCTTACTCACCATTCTAAGCAAAATTACTGCCACTGCCTACCACTGATACTGATTGGCACTGCACATTCAGAAATGTACTTTATAACTGGAGTAGGTTCTGGGAAGTGGTTTGTATGTCTTCCTATGGCACCATAGATGCTGGTCAGCTGGGTTCCCTGGGCACATTTCTCTCTTCTTGTTTAGCTCCGCAGTTCCCAGGGACTCCTTCTCCTTTTCTGCAGCAACTCTGCCCTTGGTGTATGCACTGAGCCTTTCCTTGTTGCCAGAATGCTTTCTCTAACCACATGATCATTTACCCTGAGCATTACTAGGACAGTGCATTTGTTTAAATACTGACTATCCTGAGCATCATTCAGGAAGGCAGCATTTCAAACAGTCAATTCTTGTTATATTTCCTATTATATTATCTTAAAATTTAATGAAAGATCATGGAACTAATTTCTGGCTGGGCAGGAGAAATCCAGATGATCCCTACATCTCAGGGCCAGATGACCAAGGGAACTCTAACCACACAGTAGGATCCCAGCTAGGGTATGCATGATGGACAGGTGGAACTAGCAAAATTCCAAAGCAACAGTAACAATATAAGACAACAGGTGGTAACTAAGGTGAACCAGGATTGTGCTTAGAGACAAAGACACATGGAATAGAAGCAGGTGGGAAGTTTTATTTCTTTTATAAAATTTTATTCCTAATTTTATCTTCCTTTTCCTTTTCCTTTCTTCTTTTCTTTTAGATTATCTTTCCTTTCCTTTCTTTTTCCTAACTGGCTGCAGAGAATTCCAGAAACAGAAAACTGATCCCATTCCCCCAAACTAGATATCATATTCAGATGATACCTTGCTTACTCCCTCATTCTTACTCTTCTACCCTCTTCTCTAGTTTCCCAAAGCTTGCATGATCATCCTCTGTCCTCCAGCTTGATTCTACATCCTTTTCAGTTATCTTTGTCTTATTCACTATGCTTTTTAAATTTCCCCATGACAAGGTCAAGTCACTCTACCAAGAGGAAACATTTTGCATATAAGCTCCTAATTTATAATTGGTTCTGTTATATAACTGTAGATTTTGCTACTATGGGTTGAGATACAAAATCAATAGTTAACACAATTTGTCAGTTCCTAAATTGTGCTTGATTCTATTATTATTGCAAAATATATTCTATATCTAGGATGTCATATCTATTGTATCAGTCCTTCTACAATAACATGGGGAAGCTCCGAGGTAATAACCCCACCACAGTCCTATACCAAATGACTGGAGACTGAGAAAAACAGATACAAACATTTCACACTTAATTAACTGAGAAGGTACAATTTTGGGAAAGACATAAACCAAGAACCCCCTACACACAAGAGGCATCAATGAAGAACAGACTTTTCCTAAAGAAGATCTTATA